CCGTCTATGGTTGGTATATATAGATAAAGATATTTCTGTTTATGGTTGATATACATATACATATAGATATATATATATATATATATATATATTATATAAATGTTTATATAATAATATATATATATATATATATATATATATATATTTAATATATTATATATATGTGTTTGTATATATATGTGTGTGTTTGTATGCATATATTTATATTTAAAAAAGTATTTTTATATATATATATAAATTTATATATATATATGTGTGTATGAGTTTGTGTGTATATATTATATATTTTGCACACACACACACACACACACATATATATATATATATATATATATATTTATATATGTACATATTGATTCTTTGTACACGCATATAATATCCCATATAGTTGTATGAGCGTGGATCTGTAGTTTATGAGGTTGTTTTCAAATATGCTTTCTGTTTCGGTAGCGACAGTGTGAAAAGTAATTTTTATGGAACGAATGTACCTTGTACAGCTCTGTTTGTCATATTAATACGGTTGTCTTAGTCAAGGCTAACAGGATTGCTTTGTACGTCCTGATCGATCTACCGTCACGTACATGCAGCTTATTTCATCCATTGTGATATAGTTCTAGCCTTCTAAACTCAATATTGTTCTAATGTAGGTGGATAAAGAAGGACTTAAAGCAACCACACGTGTAGCGCTGGACATGACTACGCTCACAATCATGCGCACGCTCCCTCGCGAGGTAGATCCGTTAGTTTACAATATGACCTCAGAAGACCCAGGTATGTGTTGTTTCAGATTGATTGTACGGTGTGACTAGTTGCAGGGTAGCCCTGCTCAACACTAGCACATTCAGCTTAAATTATTTTTCTTCATGGCAAATTTGGGTGTTGTAGCTTCAAGTCTCTTAGAACCGCTATACCAAATGGCACAAAACCTCTGGATTATAGAGTGCACACAGGTTAATATATACATATATACGCACACACACACACACACACATATATATATATATAT